ACCTCCCCCCAAGCCCCCAGGCATGATTTTGCCCATGATCCCACCCAAGCAGTCGGCAGCCCCGAAGGACAGCAAGAAGCCGGAGCTCAAACCGGAGAAGGGCAAACTCTTCCAGCTGAAAAATGAAATGGGACTGGAATGTGGCCACAAGGTGTCAGCCAAGGAGGTGAAGAAGCCAAACCTCCGGCCCATTGTTAAGCCAACCAAGCCAAAAGCTGAGCCTGTGGAGGACAAACCTGAGCCCATCACCCAGAACCCGTTCTTGAAATCAAGACCTCAAATCAGGCCAAAACCTGCTGCGTCCCCCCGGACTGACTTACCCCCGGCCGATGACAGACTGGACATTTGCAGCCTGAGGAGCAAGCTGAGACCTGCCAAGTGCCCAGAGAAGCCCTCGGAGCAGGACCCCGCCGCCGGGGAAAGCTCCTTCAGCAATGCCGTGGTCTCCTCAGAGCCTTGCGGGAGGTTTCCGGAGCGGCCGGGCACGGAGAGCAAAGCTCTGCCCAAGCTGGACGTTGCCCCCAAAGAGGCACTGCCCAAATCTCCCCTGGGCCCAGCCAGCCCCCCCTGTGCCAGGGACGCCCCTCCACAGCGTCCCGTGGTGCCACCTCGCAGGCCGCCCCCTCCCAAGAAGATGGGGGCTCCTGCCTCCGTCCCCGCCGAGCCCCGGGCACGGGAAGCGCCCGAGGCCAGGCCCTCGGCGGTGCCAGGGAGGCCCATGCTGGTCCCTCCCAAAGCCAAGCCCTTCCTCTCTGCCTGCATGCAAGACGAAGCCAAAGCCAGAAGCAGCGTAAACCCAAAGGTCATCTCCAAGCCCGTGGAGAGAGGGGAGGCCAAGGAGAGGACCTCAGCCCCCGACGTCTCCAGGGAAGCTCTCTACGTGGCAGTGGCGGATTTTGAAGGTGATGAGGAAACCAACAGCTTCAGAGAAGGGACTTTGTTTGAAGTTCGTGAGAAGAACAGCAGTGGCTGGTGGTTCTGCAAGGTCCTGGCTGGGGGGCCCTGCTGGGAGGGCTGGATCCCTTCCAATTACCTGAGGAAGAAGCCATAGCTGCTCCACTAGCCGGAGGCTCCCGGGTCTCTCACCTGAGTATTTAATGAGCAGATTAATTTATAGTTTTCTGTAAGGCTGGCTTTAAAAGAAAAGATAATAATTGGAGATCCCACGCCTCCCAGCTGGAGCTCCTTGGCAGCAGCTGGAGGAAGCAGCTCGGCCTCCTCTCCCCACCCCTGTGCTCCCTGTACCCACCCTCCTCCTGACATTCCCCTAAGGACTTGGCTCCCGTGGTTCTCTGTGCTGGCCAGATGGACCCTGAGTGATGTTTTGCCACCTCTGTGGTGAATTGGAGAGAAATCCAGCAGCAGCCAGGTGGAATGGTACCAATGCAAAAAATCACAGAAGGATTTGCCTTTCCCTGAAGCTCAGGGTCACGGTCAAGAGTTGCAGGTCGTGTTGCTTAGTCCAGGGATGTAGCAGAGCCACGAGGAATGTGGCAAAAAGGAGGACAGACTGCTGAGAACAGGTTCCTGCAGCTCTGTCTGTGGTTAAGGGCTGCACCGTGCTCCCCCTGCACAGGGATCATCCCTCGGTCCTTCGCTGCCCTACCATGACAAGTGTTAACTTCAACATCCTCCTGGTGGAAAAAAAAAAGGGAAAAATGCACCCTCATTTAACAGGTCCTGCTGTGCTGGTCCAGGACAGCTCTCAGGCCTCTCCCCTGCAGTATTGCAACCAAACATCAGAGGGGTTTTGCTTCCGGAGCTGAGGAATTCTATGCAAGGCGCAGAGGACCAGAAACGACCCCAAAAACCCTGGAAAAGGGATGCTTTGCTCTCCTCCCCACCCAGACTGCCCTGCCTGTTGGACTAGAAGGGGACCACCCCCTCCCAGGACCCACGGAACTCCCCGGGCTGGCGGGGAGCAGCCAGGAGCTGGGTCCTTCCCTCGGTGCTGACATTATCAAGTGCAATGCAGAATGTGGGAGCTCAGCTCCTCATCACCACCAGTTCTGAGGTGGGTCTGGTGCTCAGGGGCTGCCTGCCTCGTTTGTCACCCCACCTTGCCTGTCCTCCAGGTACTTGCATTTCACCCTGTGGGCCAGGTTGGCTTGGAGGGGCTTCTGGGCAAGCAGAGCCTGGGGTTTTTCCATGCTGACATTCCTGCCTTGCCCTCAGTGCTGCTTATCCCAGCAGGAGGATGAGCTGTTGTTCCCCGGTGCTGCTTTCTCCCTTTCTGTCCTTGGCTATTTGCAGCTTCAGGGCTGCATTCCTCTCCAGAAGAGCTTTAAACCCGGATGTCTGTGGGTTCCACAGAGTCACAGAATTGCTGGGGCTGGAAGGGACCTCTGGAGATCATCCAGTCCAACATCCCTGCCAAGGCAGGGGCAGGTTTGGTGTTGGCCAAGCCCTGTTGCCCTCCCTGGTCTAATTGCAAGTGTGAGCAATGCAGCCACTTTGTTTTGCTGCTGAAAATAATGAGAGTTTTCCCTCTAATTTGAGGCTGGCTGAATTGAAGGAGCATTCTCCACTTCCCTAGATGCTCACTTCCTTCACTGTCCACATTTTCCACCCTGGGAATGTGAAGATCCCTCTGCCTGCACACAGCAAAAAACAGCGGTCTCAAAATCATTCTGGGAGGGCAATGGGGCAGTTTGATCTGATAAAGAAGTCCTGACCATCCTCATATCCAAAGTTCATGTTTAGCCATGGGAATTCACACATCCCGGTGTGTGGCTGATTCCTCTCCCTCCCACCTGCGGTTTCCTCCGGTGGCACATCAGCTCCTGATCAGGCTGACTCACCTGAGCTGGCAAAAAGCACCGCATTTGCAAGCCAGAGCAATAACAAAGCTCCTTGCTGGCACGTCGGGAGGTGTTGATGTGCAGGGTGGGTTGGGACAGCGCTGCCTTCGCTCTGCCTGGCTCCACTCAAGCCCTTCTGCTTTGGAAAGGAGTGGGGACAGGATGAGTTAAACCAGAGCTGCTCCACAGCCAAATCCAGCTCCCACAGTATCTGGGAAGGGGCTGGACCTGTATCCCTGCTCTTGACACAGGGTGGAAGCACTGTGTGTCCTTTTCCCAGCGCCGTGTCCTTGCTCTGCCTTTGCTGAGCAGCTTTTTCATCTCGGCTCTGTCTCAGAGACCTCTGTGCCCTGGCTCTCCTCAGAGAGAGCTGTGCTGGTTGTGTGGCCTGGCCTGAGTGAGGGCTGTTCCCTCTCCCCTCCAGCCTGGGCTTCGGAACTGCTCGTGCTCCATTTCCCTGATACAAGTACTGTATTTGGCTCGCTGAGAGCAGGACAGGATCGCTCCCTTCTTCCCAAAGAGCTTCCAAGAGGGAGAGTCCCGGTGGGATCCCCCTCGGGAGGTGCCCACACTGCAGCCTTGCCCCTTGCCCGCTCTCCTGCCTGCCAAGGGTGCCCAGGCTGCTGTGGGGAAGGTGCCAGGAGCCGGGGCTGGCAGGGCTCTGTGCCCGCTCCCATCTGTGCCCTGCTCCTGCGGGAACCTGTGCCCCGAGCCAGCTGCCTCTCCTCCCTCACCTCCCTGCCTACCTCGCGAGGAGGAGGAGGGTGGCCAAAAGCACCCCAAACTCGGGGGCAGCCCCCCAGCAGCCTCCCAGAGCCGCCCTGAGATCCAGGGCCGTGCCAAGGGGGGCACTGCCATGGCTTGGGGGCAGGAGCTGGGATTTGGGGCCAGGCCAGGCTTGGGCATCAGCCCTGCAGTGCCCGGCTCCTGCCAGGCTCCCAGCGCCCATTTGTGTGTCCATGTGTCTCTATATTATGTAACGTATATAAATCTCCATTACTGTGGGTGGGTGGGGGGCAGCCGAAGGTAGATGTAGCTGTGTCCATGCCCTGTCTATACCTTCACCTTTAAGGGATGGATATTTTTTTATTTGCTGGGTTTGGGATTTGTTTTGATTTTGTGTTTTTTTTTTTTTCTTTTGTTTTCTTCTTTTTTTTTTTTGTTTTTTAAGAAATAAACTGCTTGACTGGTTTCAAGCACCCTGGTGAACCCGTGTGTATGGCTGGTGGAATTCTGGGGTGCTGCTCTCATGTCCAGGGCTGGTTTGGGGTCTGTCTGTCCATCCATCCTGGCAGCTGTGGCATGGGGACCCTGACAGCTCCTTGTGACTTTATATCCCACCAAATGGGGCAGTGGAGTGTGGAAGTTTTTCCTGTGGGCTCAAACCAGCAGAGTTTGGTGATTCTGGGGAAGTGCAGAGAGAGAAGGAGGCATTGCCAGTGCTGAGCGGCTTTGGGGGTTCTGGGTGGCCAGGGATCAGTTCTGGGGGTAAACTGAGGCAGCAGAGTGTCTAAAAAGGCATTTTGGCATAAACTGTCAGCTCCTTCTGCACCCAGAGCGAGCGAGGGGTTTATGTGAACACTCAGCTCTGGCAGGGCAGAGTTGTGGATGAATTTTTCCACTCCTCATGAAGGGAAAAAGAAAAGGAAACAGGAAATGGGAAGAGGAAAACGGGAAAGAAAAGGGAAAGATAAAAGGGAAAAAGAAACAGGAAAAGGGAAAGGAAAAGGAAAGAGGAAAGGGGGAAGAAAACAGGAAATGGAAAAGGAAAAAGGAGAAAATAATAAAAACGAAAATGAAAATCAACCCTTCTGCTGTATCTGCATCACCCCTGGCTGCCACAGCCCCAGCAGGGAACAGGAGAGGGCCAGCCTGGATTGAATAAGAAATTTGGGGCTCTTTGTGAGGGCCACCAAACCCTTCCACCTCTGTAGCCCTGAAATACACCCTTGTCCCCCAAATTTCCAGAGACTTGCAGGGTTGAATGAGCCAGCAAAGCCTCCCAGGCCATGGAGGGAATGAGCAGCCACTGGGCAGTGACTCCCAGGAGCAAAGCAAAGCTCGGGAAAAGTTTGTAAAATCTCTTTTTTATTTTATTTTGGAAGCCTCTGCCCCTCTGGATCAGTCTTTCCTCACTTTGCAAATCAAGGCTGTCTCACCCCCCAGCTCAAACTCCTTGAAGCACTCCAGAGCACTCTGTACAAGCCAAAGGTTTATTTGTTTCATAAACAAGTCAAAATTATATTCATGGAAAACAGGTAAATGGACAAAAGGAAAACACACAGCACTGAACACTATAGAGCACTGACATGTAGAGGTGCAGCTCCCTCCCTCGTGCGATGCCCTCCCTCCCCAGGCCCCCCAAAATTTTGCTTGAAAAGCCTAATACAGAGGTCCAAAATCTGATTCAGCTTCAACAAGATAATACAGGTCACAGTATTGAATGATAAAGGTAAGGACAAGAGAGGAACTGCCTCAGAAAGGGGGAGAGGTAAAAGAGTTCCCCCATCTCTTTCATTTCTTCCTTTTTCCTTACATTTTCAAACAAAGGTTAAGGAGGAGAGGAGGGGAAAATCCATGGAAATAAACACTTTTTCACTCCTATATATATATATATATATATGTATGTATGTATGTATATTCATATATATATATAAAAAGCAGTGAACACAAAATTCTATAAAACTACCATTGATCTGTGTTGGTTTTCTCCCCCCATATTTTTTTTTTCTTTTTAAAAGTTGCTTTAAAAAGGATAAAAAGTGCACAGACACCGTTATAAGGCACAAACAGATCTTCTGTACAAATCATATATCATTGGACTGTTTAAAAAAAATAGCAATACGAATACTAACAATGAAATCTGTAAGAGGCTACCTTTTCCTGGAAATCTTTTTTTTTTTTTAATTTTATTTTTTGAGGCCTATTTTGGAAAATTCCTGTTGCTCTTGGATAGGCAGGGCCACCAGTCCACTGCTGTCCCATCCCACTCGGTTCCCTTGCTGGCCTCACTGGGTGCTGCCCCTTCTTGCAAACTGGATTTGGCTGCTACAGCAAAAATTCAGCCTCTGCAAAGTGTCCTGAGCAGCTCCTGGGGTGGATTCGGTGTTTCTCCTTGCTGGCTTAAAAATACAAAACAGAGCAACACCAAAAAAACCCCACCCAGGCTGCACCCACCCTGCTGATGGAGACCCTGAGGTGGCACCGAGCAAAGGGGGCTCTGCCCCGCTGGAATGGCCCAGACCTGATCCAGGCTGGGGATTCCAACAGCTTTCCTTGAATTCCTCCCCAGGGAAAGGCTTCCCACGGCTGGCAGTGCCCAGGTAGGTGCTGGCACACACCCTGGCACTGTCGTGCCCTTGGTGCTGTGCCCACTGCCCACAGCTGGACCTGGATCTGCCAACGTGGGCTGGGAGATCCCTGGGAATGCCAAGCCAGCTGGGAGCTCCAGAAAAGCTCCAGAAGCAGGGAATGTGCCCTGGCTCCTCCTCGGGGAAAGGTGGCAGGGAAAGGTGCAGTGGCTCTGCTGAGGGTGGTGGCACAGCCAGTGGCACCAAAAAGGTCCCCAAAAAGGGCTCTGCAAAGCTGTTGGGCCCTCGTGCAGGGCCATGGCTGAGAGGTCACAGCAGCCTCTCCTTGATGCACTCAAGAAAAATGTTCATCAGCTCTCCAAGGAAAAAAACACAAGGTTTGGGTGTCCTGTGAGCACAGCCCACTGCAGGAGGAGGATGAGCTGCTCCCTGGCTGTGCCCTCCTCGATGGCAGCATGGGACAGTGCTGGCACAGGGCTGGCACAGACCAGTAGCCAAATTCAGCTCTCCTGGCACAGCAGCACCACACACCCACAGCCTCGGAGGAGAGAGGGAATAGCCAGACATCCCTCTGGCTCCCTTTGTGCCCAGAAGCCCTGAAATGTACAGGAGTTATTCAATTTTCTCCTTTTTCCAGACTAAAATGTGATAATTACACCTTTCTGAAAAGCTGTTTTTATGCACTTGGTAGCACATGGTCACCGAGCTGCAGGGACACAGCTCCTCTCATCCTCCCATTTCCATCTTTATTCCCTATTTCTGTGCCTGAAGCAGCTGGAAACTGGCCAGGCTGGGGCTGAAGGACAGGATAAGGGTTGTGCAATGGGCAAAGGACAGAGACTGGAGGGCAGCTCCTGCTGGAGCAGCAGGAAGGAGGATGCTGAGCTCCTCACACCAGCCCCGATGCTGAACAATCAGGTGCTGCCTGCAGCTGGCATTACACCCAAAACCCATTTACCTTTTAATTCCCACCATCTAATTCATCCTCAGAGCCTTTTTCTCTCCTCCTCAGTAAAGCCAAGTGAGACAGTCCCTGTTTTTCTCAACAAGGTCTCAGGTACAGTTGAGACCCAGCGTGCAGGCAGCTGGGAGCTGTGCTGGGAAATCTGCAAAGGCTGGAGAAAGAGCAGGTAAAATCAGCATATACAGTCCCCAGAAATAAAGGTGAGCCTGATGGGACTGGGTCAGAAATGAATTCCTCACCAGAGCCTCCAAAAAATCCCCGTGGCAGGGCGGGAGGAAGGCTGAGCCCTGCCATGGCTCAGGGGAAGGTCAGGACAGGGTGACAGGGCATCTGTGCCACCTGCCAGGAGGGCAGAGCAGAGTGCAGGGGTGTGTGCCTGCAGGTGACAAAGCCCATCACTGCAGTGCCAAGTGCAGTGTGCCCATCCAGACGCCCCTGCCATCCACAGGCTGCAGTTTATGGCTTCAGAAGGCAGCAGGGCAGTGCCCGAGGTGCCCCTCACGGGCTGCCTGGCTCTGCCTGGGCTCGTGCTCCTCACTGCTACCCCAGGGCAGCTCCCTGGCTCTCAGCCTCCATGGCCACAATTCCCTGTTGTGCCACAGAAAGAAAAATCTGCTTTATCTAAGCCCAGACCAGCTCCTCCATGTCCCCACGGGCCTTTTGATGGGGTCAGAACCCAAGTGACAACCTGGCTGTGCCACTATTTGGCCTGAGATGGTTCTCCTTACATGACATTTCCAGATCAATTCTGTCCACCGCTGGGCCTCGTCCCAGTTTTGCCCCATCACAGCACAAAGCCCTGGCAGCAGCTCAGAGCTGTCAGGTTTTAGGGTCAGGAAGCCCAGTGGCACCTAGCACTGCCCAAGTGGCAACCTCCCCATCCCGACCCGCAGCACGGCGAGCCTCCCCCACAGCGGGAGGAGGGAAAAAAGAGCCTTTTCACTGGAAAATTTCTCATTTGCAGCTGGCTGGGGTCCTGGCCAGGCCCCACACCACGCTCAGCTTTGCTCCCTGAATTGTGCCCTAGCAGTCAAATAAGGAAACACAGATAACGAGCCACTTGATAACGACTGACCAGCACGATAACCCAGAAGCAGGGACGGAAAGGCGAGGGTTGCTAGCGGCGTTCCCCCTTCCTGCAGCCCCCGGCGGGCGCTAAGGGCGGTAGATTTTAATCACATCTTTGATGACCCGTCTGCAAATGGGGCAGCAGGCGTTGAGCTGCTTCTTCAGCTTAAGACCACAGGTGTTGCAGAGGCACATGTGTCCGCAGGTGTAGATCACCGTGTCCACCTCGCTGTCAAAGCACACCGTGCACTCCCCGTTCTTGCTGCTCGATGGCTCCGGAGGGGAGAAGACAGGAGAGATGGGGGGGCTCAAAGGGGAGCTGGGGGCAGTCACTGCAAAAGAAAAGGGGGAATGAGGGATTTAGTCACCCGGGATGGGGCAGAGCTGGCGCTGTGTGACACACTTAAGGCAGTTTTTAAGGCTGTCCTTAGTCATTGCCTGGTTCTTTGGCCAAAGGAATTCCAGTGTATTCCAACGTGCAGCAGTCACAGCTCTGGGAGAGCCTGTTAGTCCTTTTCTGCACATGGGGCAGGTGCCACATCCACACATTTTCTGAACATTTGTAGGGATGGTGATTCCACCACTTCTCTGGGCAGCTTGTTCGATACCTGACCACTCTTTCCACAAAGAGATTATTCCTTAGATCTAAATTAAACTACTCCTTGTGCAACTAGATGCTGTTTCCTCCCATCCTGTCACTGTTCCCTGGCAGCAGAGCCCGACCCCCTGGCTGTCCCCTCCTGTCAGGAGCTGTGCAGAGCCTCCTTTTCTCCAGGCTGAGCCTCTTTCCAGCTCTCTCAGCCTCTCCTGGGGCTCCAGCCCCTTCCTCAGCTCCTTTCCCTTCCCTGGACACGCTCCAGCCCCTCAATGTCTTCCTCATCTCAAGTGGCCCAGACTGGACACAAGGTTGGAGGAGCAGCCTCAGCAGCGCCTGGCACGGGGGACAGTCCCTGCCCTGCTCCTGCTGGCCACACCGCTGCTGACACAACCAATGCACAGCCCTTCTTCAGGCCATGGACACCTTTCCAGCACTGTGTTTGCTTCCCAATCCTTCTGGTATCCCCCCCGGGGCTGAGGGCTGCCTGTCCTTACCCAGCGAGGACTCAGAGGCTGATGAGGACCTGTTGACGCTGAAGGCCACGTCCGAGTCGCTGTCGTACTGGGAGCCACCGGGGGATCCTGAGGGAGACACCGTCCCTGGGCTGGACTGCACCGTGCCTGGGAAGGCAGGAGAGAGCTGAGCCCACACAGGGACACCCCAAACCCCCTCAGCCTGCTGAGCTGCTCCCACCCCACCTGCACAGGGACTTCAGGGCGAGTCCTGCTGCTGTCCCTTGGTAACGACACAGGGCAAGATTTTGGGTGCAAGCCCATGGTCTGGACCTCATTATGCCTTTGTATGATGCCTGTTCAGCTTCAGTGAAGGAAGCACCAGGCTGTGCAAAATTTGCCTTTCCACTTGCCCACAGTCCCACTCTCAGTGGGCTCCAGCTGTGCCTGTCACACAGTCAGCTGGGAAAGGCCATTGCTTTGGATGAAGAAAACCTGCTTTACAAAGTCATTAACATCTGCTTTTCTGATGGAATCCTTAACAGGAGGAAAGGAGAAAGGCTGGAACTGGTCCCCAGCAATGGATCAGAAGTGCCAGCTGATCCCTGAGCTGTGGCAGTGCTTTAGGAGCAATTACTGTCCATGCTTAAACCAAAGCTGTGCTCACAAAAATCATCATCCTTACCCAGGCAGAAGTTTAATACCTGTGGGCTGGAATAGGGTGTTTATAAAGAATCCCTTCTAAAAGCAAACCCACTGAAAAAGAAGCTGCCCCCCACAACCATACCTGTTTATAAAGAATCCCTTCAAAAAACAAACCCACTAAAAAGGAAGCTGCCCCCCACAGCCATCCCTGCCTGCTGCTTGTTTTATCTCTCAAGTCTCATCCTTTCCTGGGGGAATCATAGAGGCTGCACACATCTCTGTGCCAGGCACCATCTTTTGTCACTCTTGTTTGCAAACACAAGGAGCTGCATCCTCACATCAGTGACCACTGAGTGCAAACCCAGAGCTCTGCTTCTGGGCCAGGAAACCTCTCCAGCCAGCTTGGCCACACTTACCCAGGATTTTGAGCTGGTTGATGACGCCGTGGATGGTAAAAAACACCCAGAGGGACTGTGAGGTGTCCACGCACATGAGCATCCCCCGGCTGGCCCCGTTGACCCCGTGGTGCACCTCTCCGTTGGGCAGGACCATGAAGCTGAGGATGTCGCCGCTGTTGAGGACCGGGAAGGCCCGGTAAACCACCCAGTACTCCTTACGGTCCAGGAGAAAGTCCGGATCCGCCGGGAGCTCGTTTGTCCGCAAAGTGCTCGGATCACACGAGGTGATGCCGAACGAGAGGGCCCCGTAGTACGGCAGCCCCAGGTGTCCTACTTCCACAAAGAGGCTCTCCCCGATGTGCAAAGGCCGGTCAGAAAACACCAAAGTCCTGTTGCTCTCCTGCCAGTTGGTGCAGGCCACCATCCTGTCCTGGGAAAAGGTGATGTCGGGGCCGCGGGTGGGGTGGAACCGCAGGTCGGTGTCCAGGAACGCCGGGACTCCCTGGGCGTGCTGCCGCCGGCCGGGGCAGCAGGGGATGATGTGGTTGTCAGTCCCAAGCCCTGGCACCCGGCTCAGGTTCAGGTTTGCAATTTTGGCCACCACTTGGTTGTTCTCGAGCTCGTTGTTGTTGAAGTTGGCCGAGTCGTGGTTGCTCTGGGGAAGGCAGGTGCTGAGCCGGGCGGTGCTGAGCCGGGCAGTGGTCATGGTCTCTGCAAACATGCTGTCTGTGAGAGAAACCCAGGCACAGAGGCTTTAGTCAAGAGAAAACTGCCTGCTTTTATTCTTGCAGTTGTTATTGCAGCCTACAAACTCCGAAAGGAAAAATCAGCCATGGGTCAACCACTAAAGAACAGCTCCTGGTGCAGAGTCACGCCTGGGGCAGGCAGAGGAGCGGCTGCATCTGGCACCAACCAAGGGAAAACAAGTGTTCCAAAACACTCGTGTGATCTGGGAGTTCCCTGCACTGGGGAATGGGGAAAAGCTGTAAACCATTGTGGTCCTACAGCTTTCTGAGGAGAAAGATCTGATAGCTCTGAGGTTACACTATAAAAAAAAAGTTTCAATATTTTGTTGTCCCAAGGTCTTGTGCAAGGCAAACCCACAAGTGATGGGTGAAGGAGCTCAAGGATGAAGAGATATTCTTTCCACACTCCTTTTCACTGCCTTACACCTGTGTCCAGGCACAGAGAGGTCATTTCAAGCCACATATCTCAGGGGTGTTCACAGCCCTGCAGAGGTTTTGAATGGAGAGCTTGTCACAAAAGCTACTTCCTGCAGGTGTTAGAAAGCTTTTACAGCAGAAGGTTGTTTTCCCTTTTCACAGCAAAGGGAAAGCCAGGATGTTGATCCTTAATTAATTTCCCAGGTTTCCACTTGAGCCCTGCCAGGCTTGGGGGTGATGTAAAGGTGTGGGAAAATGTGGGGGTGTTCTCCCTTCTACCTCCAGCCCTGGGCCAGCCTGGACACTTTGCTCTGAAAGGTTTAATGCACTGAGCAAAGTCAAAGCACATGGAATTTAAGAGTTTGTGTGAATGACTCCTGGTCTTCCCAGAGATGGAGAGGGCTGAAGCAGCCCAGCACCAACACTGCCTGCTCCCTGGAGGAGAGAATCCCCCGGTGTCGAAGTCCAGCACATCCCTCTGGCTGCCCTGGCCGTCTCCAGACCCTGGCAGGGGGCTTGGAGACCCTGGAATGAAGTCAAAAACACCTGTGGCTTTGATTTCAGCCCATCAAAAAGACTGACAGCTTTATATGAGGAATTACAAGCCACAAGGGGTTGAGTAGTGTGATATTTGAATTAACACAGCGTGGAAAAATAGAATTTTGGGGTTTTCAGAATGGGGTTCAAGGGTGTACAAGATGGAGGAATTTGGGCATGTCCTGGCCTTCTTCTTTTTGTCCTCCATGTCTTGGTGTGATGGTGACACTTTTCTATTGGTTTAAGGCAGAGATTCACTAACACAGATGATGGGAATTGGGACAAAATTGTAAACGTGCTACACGTAGTTTTGAGTGGGAGCTGCCCAGGGCTCAGGGCAAAATGCTATGGTGAACTTGCTAGGCAGAGCTCAGCAGGTCAGAGAAAGAATGTTATAGATAAGAAAAAATAAACAACCTTGAAAGTGCAATCAGACACATTCCAGACTCCTTCTTTGGCTGCACGGGCTAAGGGAACGAGGACTCTCACAATCCCGGGGTCACTCCAAAGCAAAGCAGAACCCGACACCCAGGCTTTTGGCAAAGAAGGAAAAACACCCAAATCCACCCAGCAGCTGCTGAGAAGCCCAGGAGGGAGAGGTCACTGGGGTGGGCTGATGGCTGCAGCAGCTCCTTCTCAGCCAGCACAGCTTGTGTGGCAAGAAATGCTCCCACAGAGCAGTCAGGCACATCTGAGCTTCATGATGGATTCCCATCCCTGGAAGTGTCCAAGGTCAGGTTGGACAGCGCTTGGAACAGCCTGGGATAGTGGAAGGTGTCCCTGCCCATGGTAGGGGTTGGAAGGAGATGATCTCTGAGATCACTTCCAGCCCAAACCATTCTACGATTCATGATGCTGAAAGATGCATTGTGTGCCTCAGAACTGTATTTCACAATTTTCTCAACTCGCAACATTTTGGGAGGATGAGGCAGAGACAAGCACATCCTCAAGCAAGGGGTTTAGGTCCCCTGGTACCCCAGATGGCTGAGCACAGCCCTGATTCCTGGGGCAGTGTCAGGGGTTTGCTATTTTAATGTAAAAAACTCCCAGCAGAGTACAGGTGCTCTCAGCCTGAGTCTGTCACTGGGAGCTCTTGGATGCTGCAGGCAGGACTGGAGGTTGGGAGCAGAAAGAAGCTGCATTTTCTTTTTCAAACTCCCATTTTATGAGGAGAAAGGAAAGCTCTGGTGAAGCAGCTGCTTTGGCCAATACTGCAAACACTCCTTCTCCTCTGTGACAAGCACCAGAGGCTGGAGTGTGTCACAACTGCAATTACAGGACAAGCTGCTGGTAAGGTTTAATTACACATTTGAGGCACAGCAGACAGGGAAAAGCGTTGTTTATGTGTGGCCTTCTCGCCTGTAAAATAATTGGCACTGTTCAGAAGGATGTGTGATGGAGCTGCCTGCCCTCTGGACTCACCATTCCACAGCTTTTCCCTGGTGCCTGCTCCGTGCCAGGCTAGGCTGGCAGCACCATCCCCTAGGGCAGGTGCAGCTGGCTTTGGCTGTTAAAACTCCATCAGCTCCGAGGAGCCTCCAGGAAAGGGCAACTCTCTTGGATTTTAAAAGTGTTCCCTGTGGTGCAGCCCAGTTCAAACACTCCATCTAACGCTGAATTCAGTAGAAATTTCAATGCTGTAAAAGCCACGAAGGGAAAATCATCCCATGGCCGTCAGCTGGGCTTGCTCATGGGAACGGATTCATCCCCTCTTGCAGCCCTCCCTAAGGATGAGGCTGTAAACCAGCCAGACTCCACCTGATTCCAGGGGTCTGAGTGATGTCCCTGTGCCAGGGAAGGGTCACAATGCCAACACAGCCCCTCAAACTGCCAGCCTGGGTGAGACCCCAGCCAAGAGTGGAGAGAGGGCTGGGGAAGGGCTCCAGGAAACTCATGGGCAATTACTCATAATTTTCCAATGGACTGGCAGTAACTGGTTGCTGGGAAAGAATAGACAAAGTCACAACTTGTCCTTTTTGTCTCCTCAATCCTTGGGACCTTGCTTCATGTTTTTCCATGCCAAAGCAGCACATCCAGCTCAGAGAAAGCTGTGTGGAATTACAGGTAAAGATTTCCATTTATCCCTTCCCATAATGTGCAGCCTTAGAACTTTCCATCACTGCCATCTCTGGCATATATTGCTTTCTGCATCCCTACTGCTGGCAGAAGTAAAATGATTAACTGGAAGTACAAAACCACCAGCAAAATAATTTTAAGTGTCCCATAGAAATGATCACATAGATCATGCATCTTTCCTACGGGATTGTGGGTCTCAGATTCACTCAAAGAAAGAAACTGAGAATTTCTAGCCAGGCAGAGGCCTAGGAAAGAGCTGGAGAGAATGTAAATAATTCTTTATCTCTCTTGTTTTTTACGTTGTTTATAGCTAAGTTCTATCTCTGTGCATCAAGCACTTTGCACCAATGTTGTTTTCACTTCAGGACCAATAAGGTTGGTCCTCACGAAGCTCTGTATAAAAGAGCGGTGTATTTTGAATAAACCAGAGTTTTACTCTCACAGCCTTCTAAGTCAGAGTCTTCTCATTCCCGTCCTGCCTCAACAGCGACACAGGATCAGAAAGAGCAAGCAGAAGAGCAGCCCACATGTGGCAAAGACACACTCACCTAGAATTTGCACTTCGTGGGTAATTCCATAGACGTCTATGAGGGCCCAAAGAGGCCCGGAAACTTTAATACCACAGTGAAACAAGATTGGCTCCTCATCATTAATACTGTAGAAGACTCTGCCGTGCCGGTCCACCCAGAAGGCCAAGATATTGTCCCTGACCGCAAACCTCTCCGGCAGAGCCTTGGCCCAGTAGCCGGGGCGGGTGACAAGGTCGGGGCAGGCGTACTTTGGTATCTCCTCGGAGCTCATCTGCGAGGGGTCGTGGATGGTGAAGCCGAAGCGCAGGGCCCCGCTCCAGCCGTGGTGCACGGCCACCAGCTTGAGGCGCACCTTCTCGTAGAGGTGGATGGGCCGGTTGGTGAAGGTGACGCCGTTGCAGAAGCTGTTCCTGCGCGTGGCCCTGCGCGAGTGCGCGTCCAGCCGCACGTTCTTGCCCTTGGCCTGCGAGTGGAAGCGCGGCGGCTCCGCCACGGCCAGCACCGAGCGTCTCTCATGGCTGCTGTTGGGCAAGCTGTAGTAGGGCCGGCTGGACACCGAGCGGGTCTGGTGGCTCGTGTCTGCGAAAGGACAAAGCACATCAGTCAGCAGGGCTTGGCCCCAGCGAGGTTTGGCTCGGCTGGGTGGGATTGCACCACTCTGTTAAGACCTGAAATGGCACAGCATCACTGGGTTGGAAGAGACCTTCGAGATTATCGAGTCCAACCCAGCCCCAACACCTCAGCTAAACCCTGGCACCACATCCAGGCTTTGTTAAACACACCCAGGGATGGTGACTCCACCACCTCCCTGGGCAGAACATTCCAGAACTTTATCACCCTTTCTGTGAAAAACCTTTTCCTAATATCCAACCTGTATTTCCCTTGGTGCAGCTCGAGGCTGTGTGCTCTGGTTGTGTCAGTGCTGCCTGAGACAAATCCCAACCCCACCTGAGCACAGCCACCTTTCAGGAGCTGTAGAGAGTGATAAGGTCACCCCTGAGTCTTCTTTTCTCCAGGCTGAACATGCCCAACTCCCTCAGTCATTCCTCACAGGGCTTGTGTTCCACGCGCCTCAATATTTCACCTTAACACAGCATGCTTAGCCACAACCTGCTCTTTGCTGTCCCAGTTTGGCCCTCAGCTTTCTGCAAAAATGTGTCAAGCAAGGTTAGGCAGCTTCCCTGCAAAGCTGGAGAGGAAGGAACGTCCTTTGTTCCCATCAGATGCTTCCTATTGCCCTCAGAAAAGCTCAACATCTGCAGCTCCGAGTTTCCTCCTCAGAGTGCACGTGCTGTCAGCTCACATGGTGGCCAGAGACAGGAGCTCTGAGGATTGTGGCTGTTAAAAATCACGGATTCTAGAGGTGAGCATGGGTCTCAGAAGATTTTTGTGGGACACACAACCACCAGCTCCTCTGTGCCCTGATTTTGTAATGACGAACAGGAACTTTTGGCCAACACAAATAATCCAAGACATTCAGCAGCTGGAGCACCTCTGCAACACCAGACTGTTCCTTCTAAACCTTCAACGCAGTCCCTGGCTGAGATATCAGATGTAACTGGCACATTCAGGAACATTTCATCCTGCACAGCCTTGCCTTTACCCAGACCCTCCCATGTGAGCTCCAAGCACTTTATAAATGATGATTGTTTTCAGCTTCACAGCACTGCAGATGGCACAGAAATCCTGCCATCCTCGTTTTACAGATGGGAGAAGGAGAATTGATGGGTGAGATCTTGCAGCATTTAAAGCCAATAGCAATTCTGAGACTGACTTCAAGGAAAGCAGATTTGGGGCCTAAAGTGAGGTTCAGACAGGCATGAGGCAGAAATTTTAAAAAGCTTAACTTTGAATCCTAAACCTTAGCTAGAAGCTCCTTGAGGTGGAGACAATGTCTTTTACACATCTCTGAGCACACGGGGACTTGCTCCAGGTCCTGGGCTCCCACCACCACCTCGGTGTTCCAGGGAATTTTGTCTCCCCACTCCCCACCCACTCCATCTCTCCTCCTGTCTCTGCACCTGGCTTTGTAGATGTTTAAAGCAAAAATGGAACACATCCTGAATGCCCAAAGCCATCCTGTTAAATATAAAACCCCATCACATGCTCACAATCCCTCTGAACACTTTTGCCACGTTTGAAGCTTTAGCAGCCACCTGCCAGGCCCTTCCTCCGGGCTGCTTCCTCCAGTGTGCAACCCCAGGCTTTGCTTCGTGACAAGGGAAGGATTTTTCTGTCACATCCCTCTGCTGGAAAAAACCCACCAGAAGATCCTGGGAGCCCAGCTGGGCGAGCTGGCAGGAGGGCTGCAGTGGTGGCAGCTTTTTTTCTCCAAGCAACACCCGAGCAGACAGGGCAGAGAGAGGCTGGGACCTGCACTAAGGCTCTGAGCAAAGAGAAGAGAGGCTGCAACAAGATCTGAGCACAGGATTAGCCTTTCAAATCAGGCATCTGGAACAGGAGTCAAAGGGCTATGAAGGCAAAAAGCTCCTGTTTGCAGCAAGATATAAATAACAATCAAAAGGTGTTTTTTCTCTTGGCTTGCCCTGCACGTGACAGTCGCCGTGCAATGGTTAATCCTGTCACACACCAGTGGAAATTAAAACATCCTTGCTCTCAGCCAGTGAGGAGAGGGTGCCAGTTCCATGCTAAGGCTGTGGAAAAGAGCCCTGGAGCAGATGGGGAAGGGAAAATCCTCCCCAGGTGCTCAATCCCCCTGCCCAGCACAGCACCTCTGCTCCCAGCAGCACTGCAGGGCTCCCCAGGAAGGGGCATTTCTTTGTGTATTTCCAGGAGAAATCTCATTCCTTGCCTGCTGAAGAGCTAAAATGCAGAAATGGCAGCTCCCAGCACAGCCCACCCATGCTGACGTGGGTGCTGCTCCATGTGTGTGCCTGTCAGCGCTCCCGACACACGGAGCTGCTGCAAAGGGAGCGTGGCCTGGGGGCTGCAGGCAGGGACCCAGCCAGCACAGGGCAGGGTGAAGCCTCTCCTGGCCTTGCCTCCCCACACAGAACCCCTTTGTCCATGTGCATTCACACAGCCTGTGCGCCCTTCAGGTGGGACCTGGGCCAGGGACAGATCCCAAAGGGTTCCTGAGGGACTGGATGGGCTCAGTGCTCACCTCACACGCTGCCTCACACCCCAGGCAGAAAAACTCTCATTTTACCACCTACTGCACTGCTTTTTGTTTCTAAAGTGGTTAAAAACAACACCCCTGCTGTTGCAAGAGCCACGGCCTCAATGCCCCCACACTGGTCAGGAGGAGGAAGGTGGGAAGCCAGATTTTGTCCTGCTATCCCCAAAATCCCCTCGTTCCCAGCTCCAGCCTTCCTCCCACAGCCCCCTGATGGAGAAAAGAGTCCGGCCAGGGATGTGATGCCCCTGGCACAGCACCCAGGCAGATTCTCCTCGTGCCCCTCTCAGAAGGCCCAGAGGACAAAGGTGGCAGTGTCAGTGCCACCAGCACGAGGGACAGGACGGCAAGGACACTTTCACCCGCTTCAAACACAGCTTTGGGTCCACCCTGCCACAGGGGGACTCGGGGTTGGGGTCTGGCGCTTTTTGTTTTGTTTTTTCTAAAAAAACAAAACCAACAAAATAAAAACAAAACAAAAAAACAACAAAAACAAAAACAAAACAAAAAAAAACAAAAACAAAAAAAAACCCAAAAAACCAAAAACCAGGAAAGCATATTGTGGCTAAACAATAGGAAACGGTCCCGACGGAAAAATGAACGGATAATTTATTTATAACGCTGCTCTCCCCCTTCACATGAGCACCTGCTGATGGAATAAAGCCTGCCACAACCTCAGGCAGGGAGGCAGAGTTTTCCCACTGAAACACGCCCGGGGTTGAGCTGGGGCATGTGCTTTACTCATTAGGTGCTGACTGGGACTCCAAGCTCAACAGGATGTTTGTGACTTCCAGTTGTGCCTTTGAATTGCCCTAATTTGCAGCTCAGCTTCCACAATTTGGCTCGAGTTTATTCCCTCTGCTATTGCTCCAAAGCCTCTCCTCTCCTGGCCGTGCATTCCCACCCAAAAGTGGGATGACGACAGCCAAGCTCGTGGCACAAGTGCCACCCTACCCAGGGTGCCTGACAGGCAGTGAAGAGCTCCGCCAACTCTTTTTTTTCTTTTTTTTTCAGCTGTGAGATTCCTACAACTCTTGGGAGCAAGTCATTTCTTCTCTTTCTGCCTCACTTCCCTGTCTAAAAGAGAGTAACACCATTCCTCCACCTCACAGGCAGCTTAAAAGGATGGAAAAATGTAACACTTCAATCCCCGAGCCCTGCGAGCCTGGCTGCATCATCACAGGGGACACAAACCCGCTGAGGGATGCCTTGAGCTTCCATCCCTCTTTTTATCCCAGAATTTTCCATTTTTCATCCCCATTCTCACCCGTTTCAAACACAACACTCACAGCACATCCATCAAACGCACCAGCGAATATAAAAGGCAGGAAGATGGAAGGAAAAACTGAACTGAAGGGTGAGGAATGGTCTGAGGCTCCTCACTGAAACCTGAAGGATAAACCCTTTTGGCAAGGCAGCATTTCCATCCTTGTGGTGTCAGATGACACTGAGGCAGATTTGCGTTCTGGGGGCTTTCATCTGAAGCTTCACCTGCTTTCCAAAAGGCCAGCACACTCATTCCAGAGGTTATGCTGACCTTTGGAGAGGTATTTTAACACACATGCACTTTGCATTTCAAAAAGGTACAGCAGGCAGACCCTGGATAAATTCCACATATTTATCATGGTTCCAGTTCTAAAAATAAACTTTTTTTTTTTTCACCCATTTGTTTGCAGTGGCACTGTAATCCCACTGACAACAGCACTCAAAATTCAGCTCCAGAGCCCTGTCTGAGGCTGCTGCTCTCCCCGGGGCGTGGGATGGAGGAGCCTGCTCAGCTGGGGAGTGACCTCGAGCCAGATCAATCCTGAATTCACTTGCCCTGACAAGCCAGGCAGGAATAATACCCCTAAAATGGGGGAGAAGGGAATAATGTTGAAGGAGAGCAGAGCTACAGCGAGAGCAGCCTGACAGGAGGAGGAGGAGGAGGAGAGCGCTGCGTCCTCATGCGTCATCGGTAAATCCATGTCTGCACCAGAGACATTCCCTGGGTCCCACAGCCTTTTCCTGAGGGCCTTTCCCAAGTAAATCCATGACAAAAGACCCACAGGATTGCAAGGAGCAGTTTGGTGCCAAACAGGGCTTGTGCAGTGGATACAGAGAGGGAAAATCACTGGGACCATCCACAGCTGGCCCGTGCTGCAGGAGCATGGTCAGCCCTGGCCAGAGAAAGGCTGAAAGGTTCAGAGAAAGGCTGAAAGGCTCAGAGGAGAGGCTGAAAGGCTCAGAGGAGAGGCTGAAAGGTTCAGAGAAAGGGTGAAAGGTTCAGAGAAAGGCTGAAAGGCTCAGAGGAGAGGCTGAAAGGTTCAGAGAAAGGCTGAAATGCTCAGAGGAGAGGCTGAAAGGCTCAGAGAAAGGGTGAAAGGTTCAGAGAAAGGCTGGAAGGTTCAGAGAAAGGCTGGAAGGTTCAGAGAAAGGCTGAAGACCTCCTGAGAAGCAGCAG